ATGAGTCTGTTTTCCCTCCCTCCGTTTTCCTTTTAAATAAGACGTCAGTGCTAGTGCAGTGACAATGCTGACAAATTTCTAGCCTGATTAAGCTTCTGGTGCATTGTGTTTAATTGTTAGTTCTTTTTGTTATTGCGTGAATGTTATTTAGATGAAATCTCAGAGTTACTAATGTCAGATGGTATATTTATTTTCCAATATTTTGGTTTCATTTGTTTTTAACCTTATTAAATGAAAGCTTTAAATGATTTCTTAATAAAAAACTGTAGCATAACAAATGAAACAATCGAGGTAAAAAAAAAAAATTGTCATAATGATGACAAATAAAAAGGGGAGAATTTCCTCAGACTCATTTACATGTCAAACTTCAATATTTACAAGTGGTAGGGACCTGTGCGAGTGTGGGTAATTTTCTTATTTGAGACCTGTTTGTGATCTTCCCAGTAAAAATTGCTGTAAGAGTGAAAGAGGTGAAGAGAAGTGGTAAGGGCAAGGTTTCCTTTTGTTTTAGATGTCAAGGTTCAATTCACTTGATACATTTTAGAATCAAGTTGTTTGAGTTTTATAGTAGAATCAGGACTTTTCCTTTATTTTAATGTTTAATATTGCAAAATTTTACAGTTTGAAAGTAAGCATTTGACTATGGGTTATGGCGGTAGCAGAAGACTTGTGTAGGTGTAAGAGTTCCGGTTATTTTAAGTAAAATGGGAAACATGACTTTTAGTGCTTTAAGTTTCACCCAATTTGGCACTTGTTCCCTGTTTTTTAATTGGTATTAATCCAGTCCTTGTGCTCTCAAAGTGTCAAATAAATGATCTTCATGTTTTGTATATGTTAAGTAAATAGCCTTCAAAACATTAAATAATTTCAATCCCAGGATTAGCATTACTATGGGAATAATCAAACAGGAATGCTGCATTTTGGATGAGCTTCATTTGACATTTGCAATTGCATGAGGACAATTTATTTGACATTTTGAAACTATATAGAGACCATATCAATGCCAATTGAAAAACAAGGACTACATTGCAAAATTGTTCAGAACTTTCAAGATCTAACATTCCTTTTTCCCTAAAAAGATGTAAGAAAAATAAGAAAATTTGCTTAGACTCGATTGGAAGTTCAATAAAAACATAGCTGAAACGCACATGATATGTTTTTTTTTCCTTCCATTTGCACATCAATGAATTTTGTTTATAGTCTTGGATTACATAGATGGAGCTCGGTAGATATCTGTACGAAAGCCTGCTTTCTGTGCCAAACATTCGCATCTATGGACCAGCACCTTCAGATAAATGCCAGAGAGCTGCCCTTTGTTCTTTCAATGTCGACAACATACATCCTACTGATCTTGCAACATTTTTGGATCAACAGGTAAACGATTGATGGCTAACTTCATTACTGGTATATAGTATATACTTATATGAATATATATAACGGATTAGTTTATAATGGAGTGGGAATTCCTATTCAATCCTCCACAGGCAATTTCTTTCAATTTAATCTCTCAACTGTTAGAATGCTTCTTGTGTTTCCATCTTTCCTATGTACATGAAAGTAAATAAGTAACAAAATAACATCACACCGTTGATTATTGACTTGGAGTGAGCAATTTTTGGTGAGTTAACAGTCTCAGGTGCTGGCCATAAATGTCTAAGCCAGCAACTTATTTGGTTTGGCGTTGATGCATAGGGAATATTGAAAGCATTTTAGTACTGAAGGACTAAATTGAAAGAAAAGGTTTGTGAGAAGGTGTAATTCAATGTTCGCTTATCTGGCAAGGGCAGGAACAAGATGCAACTCTGTATTGAATTATCATGATCAGAAAATGTGGGGGATAAAACTGGGATATTTTAATAAGATGGAAATATCCTCTTTCTTGAACTGACGTATTTCAATCCAGCATGGAGTGGCTATTCGTTCGGGTCACCATTGTGCCCAACCTCTCCATCGTTATCTTGGCGTCAATGCCAGTGCACGTGCTAGTCTATACTTCTACAACACGAAGGAAGATATTGACCGCTTTATTCATGCCCTCAAGGACACAGTCAGCTTCTTCCATTCCTTCAAGTAAACTTTCTGCTCTTATCAAAATATATTTCTCTTTATAGTGTTTTTTGTTAAGGTATCCTAATTACTTGCCTCCATCAATTTTAAAGGTGAAGGCTGGGGTATCACTTGTACTTTGGATGGGAATCGGATGTATAGTGTAATCAAGTAATTAACAGAGATTTTACTTGAATACTGTTCTTGGCAAACACTCTGGTTATGAGATCAATATCAACCCATGGATGGTTGTGATCGGACAACAGCTAGGCCAGCACCCACCAAGATTGTTATTTTTTGGCTCACCAACCACATTAGGGTGATAAGGGTCGTCCTGGATAAAGCTGGGGACAAAACATGTTAAATGAGTCAATTTGATATCCATTTTGTTTATTTATGTTTAATGGGTCATTCTCTGACGAACTAGTCTGATAATGCTAAACATAGCATTCACGACTTTGTAATCTTTCTGAAGTTTGAGTTTGAAAGCTGCGAAACTGCGGGTGTGGGTGTGGGAGTGTCTGGATTGGTGGTGACAAGGTTGACTCTTGTTCTATTTGATTTTTGTAAAAGTTAGTCAGTATAATATGATTTATGTTAGGATTGGTGTTTTTAAAAAGTCAGTTTGAAAAACTGAAACTTATATAGATTGATAATAAAAAAATAAGTTTAAATGTAAAATGAATAAAAAAATCATGGGCTTTTATATAAGATTCATTTTACTAATTTGAGAAGATTAAGAAAGTTAAATAAATTACTATAAAGTATTTATATTTATTATTATTTTAAATTAATTTTTTTTGACTTATAAAATAATATGTAATCTAATAATATAAGTATTTTAGAGAGATTAAGGAACATATAATATAATTGAGTAATTTATTTAGTTTTGTTAATATATTCAAATTAATATATCATATGTATGTGATTTAATAAATTTGAGAAAAATAATAAATTAAATACTTAACTTTTATTAGTTACGTTTTTGAAGAAGAAAAAAAAAACCAGATTATTAGGTCAAGATTAAGACCTATTTAAGTATTCTTATTTTTCTTCTCATCTTTGTTTTATCTTCTCTCTCCACGTTGGCAATGGGCAAAAGCTAAAAAAAAATTAAATTATGCTGTAACAAGCTTTTTATTCAGGAGTTAGATAGGAAAAAAATTTAATCCAACTAACACTCCATCTATAGCCGCATCACCAACAAGTGTTTTGCAGTTTCCCATGCATTTTTTCATGTTCAAACGGTGATCCAAATATGCTTTACATCTACACTTCTGATTCTGATATGGATGTAAACAGACAATATTTGTTGTTTGATACTTTTAACATGTTTAATACTTCTTGTTTCCAGATGATTGGCAATGAGCTCGTATACTACTCTGTCTCTTATTATAAGATTCTTTTAACTAAATTGTACGGTTTAAGAAAATAATTAAAATTAGTTAAAGCAATTAGTATATAGCAAATATAATTTTTTTTCAAATATACCCCTATATATAAATAGATAGATGTGATAGAGTAATAGTGAGATAAATAAAGAAAAAATAGTAAATACATTAAACTAGAGGTAAAATAGGTAATAATGCATTAAATGTTCAAACTTAAAAAAGATTTTATAAAAAGAAACAAACCTATTTAAAAAATTAGATCTTATAATAAAAGATAGAGGGAGTATATTATATGGAGCTCAATGAATAAGCCATATTGTTCCCAACGCCAACTTACAAATAATAGTTTGTTATAGATCTTATGATGAAATGTGTGCTTGTTACGCCCAAAAAAAAAAAAAAGGAAAAAAGAAATGTGCGCGCGCGCGCGCGCGCGCGGGTCTCTGGTTGGCTTCCCCAATCTCGTCCAGCTCGGGAAGGTGGCTGGAGAGTGAGACCAGGTCACCGGCTTCAAAGTCGTCTACCTGTGTGTCTCTCCCTCCATCCCTCTCTCTACAATGGACATAATTTTCTTGATTTGCAGCCATGTAAGCAATAATTTGCAAGTCACGCTCCCGGTTTATAAAGGAAAAGTGGGGATTGTTCATGTTGTTGAGTCTGAGTAGTTTTATACTCAAACCCTGATTTGCAAGTCCATAACAATTACTACCTTCGGTACTAAATATGAGAATTAGATGACTAATTTAGATAAATTAAGAAAATTAATTAAGTTAGTTATTTATAATAAATAAGTATTGTTTTTTTCTAAAATATTCTTGTTAATCAAATATATTGACTAGAATTATTATTATTATAAGGATTATTTAAAGAAAAAAATATGAGAGACAAAATAAATTAAAACTTTCTAAAGAAAAAAAATCAAATGAGTCCTTATATTAAAGAAGGAAGGCGGTAATTTGCATATTAGAAGGAAAAGGAGGCTGCGTCAATTGCCAAAGTGACTATGATTTCCAATGGTTTCGTTCTCATGCTCTCTTATTTGCATATTGCAACTTCACAGCCAGTAACTTGCAGTTGAAATTCATAAGGAGAAGGGACAATTTAACTTGTCAAGTATATGATGACTTGCAACGCTTCGGTATTCATTCTTTTATTTGCAACTCTGTAATATATGTGTATCAATTTCTTGTAACATATATACAGGCATATCAAATTCATATTAAATAATGAATGCCCCTTTGATCCTTAATATAGGACCTAAATTATTAAATTGATTTTGGTTCTAATACCCCTATAGATATTCTCTCAACCATAATCAAGTAGAAGATAGATAAGGTTATTAAAAAATGATTATGATATTTTAGGAAAAATATGTTGTATTTTTTATAATTAACTAGCTTATCTAACTTTCTTAATTTAATCAAATCAGTTAAATAGGTCTTATATTAAGGATTGAAGGAGTATTTCTTAACTAAAATTAAATTTATGCTAAAGAAATAAACGTTATCATTTTTTAGAGTTATGCTTCATTCATGCGTTGCACATTATTTTGGAACAACTTTTAATTTATGAAGGGTCAAATCGTCAATTTATTATTGATCGGTGACCAAAATGTAAAATAATCACAAATCGTTGGCCCATATGGAAAATCCGTTTTCTTATTTCTGTTGGTGGATTTTTTTTTAATTAGTCAGAGTATTCTCCCATTCGAAGTCTCGAACGGTAAAAAACTAATCTTTCAGAACTCAAATGGTAAGAGACTAATTTTTCAGGTCAAGTACCGTAATGGAACCCTTCCCAGCAATATTTTTCTCTATATATACCATGCTAAGAATCAAACCCAAAATATAATGTGTAAGGTGACCAAGTCCAAACACTTGTTGGTTGCTTTTGTGGATTGTTGATTGGTCGAGCGTAAAATATTGTCATGCATGGTTTCTTCACTGTGAACGTAAAAATGCTTTAATGGTTTCTCCTCCAAGAGCAGGGACCTCCCGAATCAGCTTAACCGAGGAAATAGTAGCTATGATTCTCTTAGGTATTCACGTAAACGTCAAGATCACATATCAAATTAACAACGTTTCAGTCCTTTCATCATTGACGTCAAGAATCTGGTCCAAGTTGATGCTTTGATGGGTAATCTTGCTATTACGACGAATTCAATTCATTTTTCAGAATTTGAATCCATCGATGTTCTCGACTTGAAGTTTTTTGACATTTATTCTCTATTCCTTCGGGGAAATTTCTATCATTTTCTCGGAAAATGCGCCATCATCACCCACCCAAATACAACGAAAACTCCTCCAACTCTTCGACTTTGAAACCTTTCTTGTCATAATGTATCGCTGGCCGAACGTAGCATCCTTCTCTCTTCGTTCACGTAGTTATTCTTTCCTCTAAGCTTTTGTGAAACTCCACCCAAGTTCAATAACATTTGGAATCCTTGGCAAGGATTTGACGCTAAAAAACAGAGATGAAGAAATGTAGGATAGAGAAATTAGAAACTTTTGTGTCATTGATCAGGCAAAGACCCATTCAGATTCTGATCATATTTGGAATGCTATATATAATGTTGGTCACGCTGGAAATCCCCCTTGTGTTCAAATCCAGGTTTAGTGCTGTGTCTCATGATTTCTTGACTAGTCGTCCAGGGCTGGAGAGCGAGGAGGTCTTAGATAAAATAAAAGCTCCAACTCGACCTCTTGAAGAAGTTTCGCAAAATGCTTATCAACGCACTCACAGACAACTGAATGAGCACAAGATTATATCTGGCTTGATCTTCAATAATGAGACATTTCATTTGTCGGGTAGGGATGGGTCATCCGAGCTTTACGAGACAGCAAAGAATGCTTGGATTATGGGGAAGAAGATTTGGGAAGAGTTGGAAACGTTGAACTCAAGGACCATCCCTAAAAAGGCCGAGCACCAATCAGAGTCATGCCCGCCATCCATTTCTCTGTCTGGGTCAGAGTTTCAGGCTCGAGGGCTAGTCATGGTTCTTCCTTGTGGATTGACATTGGGGTCCCACATAACAGTGGTAGGAAAGCCGCAGGTTATCAACCCGGGTGTAGCTCCTAGGGTGGCAGCATCACAGTTTGTCATGGAGTTGCAAGGGTTGAAGATTGTGGATGGCGAGGATCCCCCAAGAATTTTGCATTATAATCCCAGATTGAAGGGGGATTGGAGTCGGAAGCCTGTAATTGAGCAAAACACTCGTTACAGAATGCACTGGGGTTCCGCACAGCGGTGTGATGGCTGGAAATCAAAGGCTGATGAAGAGACCGGTAGGTAATTGGCATTCATACTCACTGCAAATGGATGGTGAAGAAAAAAATTTGAATTCACCCCCACCCCCTCATCTCACAACATCACAAGGGAATGGTTTGAATCATTCAACTCTATTTACACTTTATCCCATTCTTGCCATATAAACTAGCCTCAAATGATCAGTTTAACTTATTTTAGTTGCTTGGTTATGTAAGAAATAAATGCTATTGAATACATGAATTTTAATTGTGGTGGATTTGATTACAGGTCCGGCCTTGATGGGCTAGTTAAAGTGGCAAGCCCAAATATATGCATAGTCAAAAGTCAGAATGGTCTCTAGGGTTGGACCTTCCCGTGCTTGGTTTTAAGA